AGCGTTGTTAATTAATCTCAAAGTGACAGATAAAGATAATACTTTGGATTTTCTTCTAGAGGAAAATTAATTAACCCCGAGGGACTCATTGCAGCTTTCATAGTTTACAACAGGAACATTCTAAGCAGTAATCTCTATTTGCCCATGCATTCTTATATAAAGTTAAGGAATTTACCCCACCACCACAGCTCCAAACAAGGTGACATAAAGAACCAAACTTAGCATCAAAGTATGTCTTAAATGTACTGCCTAATCAACAAACATACCAAATTTGATATCAATTGGTCAACCACAAAAAAGTTTTTATTAGAAAAAAACACACAGAAAATTTGTGGACGGAAGAATGACAGGCGGGCAGACAGACAGACAGAGTGATTACTATAGGACACCTGTAAATCCTTATAGGGTCCTAATAACTTATTTCTACTATATATATTCAAAAGAGCCTCACCCTAACACCGAAATCCCTGAACCGGGGTTATGAATTTCAAACTTTCTGAAAAGACATCCTTGCTCATCATTTATCAATTATTTTTTCCGTTACAGACACAGGGGCAGAGAAGTAGATTTTCAAAATTAAAAAAAAAATGCATTTCCCCTATATATTTTATAGACCCCCCCCCTTGAACCCCTGATCCTGGAGCCATTAATTTCACCATTTTGGAAGAGGATCATTGATCATCATAACCATGCACCTAATTTATCTGCTAAATACCCAGGGGCAGAGAAGATTTTCAAAGAATTAATGCAATTTCACCATATAATCAATAGAGCCTCGCCCTACACCAGAACTCTTTACCAAGGGGCCAAGATATTCACAATTTTGGAAGAGGCACCCTTGCTTATCATAACTATAAACTTGGTTTATCTGCTAAATACCTAGGGGCAGAGATGATTTTAAAAGAAATAATGCATTTCACTATACAATCAATAGACCCCCCTCCTGCAGAACCCCTCACCCTAGGGCCATATATTTCACAATTTTGGAAGAGGCTACCTTGATCATCATAACCATACACCTAGTTTATCTGCTTTGTATATAGGAGGAGAGAAGATTTTAAAAGAATTCATGCATTTTCACTATATGGTCATAAAAGCCCCACCCTAACTCCAGAACTCCTGACCCTTGGGCCATGAATTTCACAATTTTGGTAAAGGTACGATACTAATTAAAATCATGCTAACAGTTTAACTGCTTGATGTCCAGACGTAAAGATTTTTAAATATAGCACTAATCCCTAGCCCTCAGTCCCCAGGGGTTAGGGACCATGAAAATCCCAATTTATGTACCCCTTCACCAATTGATGCTATGTGCCAAAATTGGTTGATATTGGTTCAGTGGTTCAAGAGATGAAGCTGAAAATGTTTAAAAGTTTACGACGAACGGACGACGCACGACGGATGACGAGACCAAAACATATAGCAATAGGTCACCTGAGTGACTCAGGTGACGTAATAATTTTGCAAATAACCAAACAAAAAGGTAAGAAAATTTTACAAGTTCTATTTTTATTGAAAAAGCAGCAGTCTATGATGTCAAAAAAGGATATAAAATTACCACACAAATGAATTCCGTTAGCTGCTTGAAAATAAATCGGGATCAGTTTACTGACTTACGAGGAGTGGTTCAGAAATTTTAGGGAAGAATATACTTTCCTAATTGTAACACGTTCTGACCTCAACACTTTACTTTCAAAATGTATGATATATGTTTACAACATGAATTGAAATAAAAATGAATTCTTTTAGTTTTATGAGTCGGTATACCGAACTAGTTTGTAAGAACAACAAGTACAACTTTTTTTTCAAAAATCTTTACCGTCTTTCGGAACAGCTACAAACAGTAAACTGTTAATAAAGTATCGAGCCGAATTATTCTTGAAAAAGTTCTAGGCTCTGTATTTTTGAGGAAGTTTTTTTTTTTAACAAACATTAGCCCTACCATAGAAAACACAACTGGTGCAAAACAGAAAAATCAAGCAAACATGAAAGATAACGTGTGTATGCAAGGGAGAACATATCTCATAATTAAGAAAATATAAAGCACTTGTTAATAGTTGTTTTAAAAGATTGAAGTGTCAATTTCATTTATTGCAATTTCATCTTATTCCTATTCTCTCCTTTTACTTTTCTTGTTTAATCGATTGAAAATTTTATAAAATTGTTAAGTCGTACAAAAATTAAATCACCAGCAAATTATTTTCCCTTGCGTCACACTGCATTTTAACAAATAAAATAAGTGAAAATTTTCATATTGTGCATTATATAACAATCACAAAAGAAATGAAGTGCTTTGTTATATTTTTTTTTAAATTATCATGGTAACGAAATACAACAATTTTTTGTTTTCCGTGAAATGTTAGAATATCAAACCATAGCATCGCCATTCTCTACCATACCTATTCAACCATGAAATAAAATCCGTTTAAACCAGCCCCCCCCCCCCCCCGAACCTGTTTTCACACATAAACGCAAAAACTTGGTTTTAATACTGGTAACCCTTTTTCATTCGCGTGCGAAAAATATCCGTGATTTTCACGACCTACTTTAACTCGCGAATATTAATCGCCGCGAACCATTCATTTTGCTTTTTATTTGTAGAGAATGTTTTTCTCAGTCGCGAAAATAAATTAATCGTCGCGGATTGATTAAAAACTTCCGAATCGCGAATAAAAGATGACACGAATAATAGTTGGTTTACATTAACTTTAATCTTTCCTTAGTTACTTAAAAGATGTTATTTTCATTTTTTTTGAATATTGATTAATTGATTATTAATTAACACCGAGTCGTAAGTATTTCGGCCATATCGGCGACATATAGTATTTAAAGTAATGTAGCAAAATATCATAAATATGGAATTTCATATTAAAAAAAAAAGATGATTAGCTTTATAGAAAAAACATTCATGTAAGACCAATATAATTTTATTATCTAAAAACAAATATATGTTGTGACATATGTTGTTGCATAAAGAAATTTTGTAAGATATTTGTTTATTTGTTTGTTGTTTAGCGTCCCTTTCGAGAATTTTTCACTCATGTGGAGAGGCCAACACTTGGAGGGCTGCAAATTTAGACATACGCGGCACTCAGGGCCCTTGTGCAGTGAGGGATCTTTTTCGTGCCAGCACCAACTAGGAAAAGGGACCTCGGTTTATACGGTCTCTTCCGAAAGACCCTGGCAGTCTCCATGTCCCGCAGTGGAATTCGACCCGCGACGTAAGGATTAACTCCTTTCTCCGCGGCTCTATAGCAAACGCTCAACCATTGCGCCACGCTGGCGAAAATTTATAAGGTTTGAAAAAAGAAGCAAATCCTCGTGATGTAGAAGATAAATCATTTCGATCTAGAGTCGTAGAGTAAGGACCTGATCCTTGCATTGCGGGTTCGAATTCACTGCAGGGAGCAGAGACCAGTCCTTCGGATGAGACCGCATGAACTGATGGTTGTCGCAGTAAGTGCTCGTAAGAAAAACATATCTCACTCTAAATGGTAATAAGTGCCGAGTACAGGGTGTTAATTTGCATTTCATAGGTGCGTCCCAATTCAACATAAGAGAAAGCAATGTGAAACAAACAGAAGACTTAAAAATAATGTTGTAAGCTAAAAACGGATAGTTGCACTTTAATAGTTACACATCTTTACAAAGAACATAGAATCTTGCCCTGTGTTTTTCTTTAAAATGAAAGTGATGTAAAAAATTAAAACTCATGCTTTCTGAATCATTGAAATTCCATGCAGAAAGGTCATACAAATCGTTTTTCTCACATGACATTCTAAATGCTAATTGTGACATCATAAACTTGTGCTTTCTTAAAAGTTTCAGAAGACACCAATTTTCAATGAAATTTTCTTTCAGATAATATTGTCAACAAGTATCGCAAACGAAGATTTTGAGATATGTGATTTTTCAAAGAATTTTACACAACATGTCCGAATATTAAAGTGGGCGACGGCTGTGGACACCATTTTCTTAAGGAAAATAACCCTTGAAGTGGGTCATTTTGAAGCTTTTTCTGTTTAAAATAGAAAAATGCATCAAATTAATGACGTCATATTTCCAGAATGGTACTCCACCATGCCACATTCTTTCCTGATTTCTCACAGTCATATACTCAACTAATATTTAAGCCGGTTTCAAAGCTTTTTGAAAACATTAAATTTTTTAGGGAACAATAAAGCTAAAACAGTACCTTCTTCTTTACGGGAAAAACATTTAGTGAAATTGCCATGCTGGAATTCGCTTGACCTTTTGCTTTAAACTTTATTTTCTTACATTAAACAAGATATAAATCTAGTTAAAGACTGGATAAAAGAGCAGAAAACCTAGGATGCAATCTAACATAGAAAATTTTTCATGTCTGTATCTTTTAACTTTAAAATTTTCCTAGATTACGGAGTAAATAGAACATACTGGGGGAGATACTTATTAATCTCATAAAAGCCCTGTTTATTGCCCCTTTGTAAGTGTTTAAAAATATTAAAATGCTGACAATAACACGGACACTAGCAAGAAAAATGCATACAAGATACATGTCCTTTGCTGCTTGAATTTTTTTTTAAAAAGAAAGTTTTTTATCCAAAATGTAAAAGGTGAAAATAACAAACAGTGATCATTCTTATAAATCCAGTAAACAAAAGATTCATGACCAGAGCACACCCCTGGAAACACCAGAGCTGGGAGTAGGTGCTTAAGAGGGGTAAGCATCCTCTGTCGACCGGTAACACCTGCCGTGAGCCCTATGTATTGATCAGGTAGACGGAGTACTCTGAAGTCAAATTTAGTATAAAAGCAATAACCTAACAAACTGTATGAAACACGTCACACAAAATACACCCCAATGATAGGCTGTATTTTCAAACAAGGTCATTATAAGGACCGTAGAATTTTCAAAAAGCTGACTTTTAACAGATCAGGATCTACACTATTGCCTGTATAACCACGTCTTTCATTTTCAGAAATAAATACACTAGATATACTTCTTAAGAAATTCATACCTTTCAGGTCCATGCCTTCTAGTATATTAAGAGCTATCAGCGTTGTTATACCCTGACCATTCGGAGGTACCTCCCAAACCTTATAACCCTTATAGTCGATACTGATTGGATCCTCAAAGGTGGTCACGTGGCTTGCGAGATCTTCCGTCGTCATAACACCGCCATGGTATTGCACCACGTCAGCAATCGCTTTTGCTATTCTACCACAATAAAATCCTGATTTCCCTTGAATGCCCAGCTCCTGTTGATCAAACAAAAATTTAAAATCATGTTCTCCTCAAATAATGCAGATAAACATTTAACACAATTAAAAACAAGAGGCTCAAGGGCCTTAACGATCACCTAAGTATTATGTAACGATCCACAGAAAAATATTCATCTAGTACTCAATAAGAAATCTTAAAGTTGATCTATTTATTTGTCTGTACTTTCCCCCATTTCTCGCTATCCTCATACGGACTAAACAATAGTTTTAGAGCACTATAAGTTAACACATTTCATTCACCCTCACATTGGACTCTCTTGTTTTTAAAAGATTATTTATTGTACAAAGATATATTTTGTCCCATTTTCATTCATCTATTTTTTTTTAAAGTTTACCTGATCATTAAAAAACTATGAAAGTAGTTATGTACATGAAACAAATATTATAAAATTTCGTGTATAATTCTGATGTTCAATTGACCTTTCAAGTTATACTATTTACAGTGATTAACTATTATAGGTGAATAGCAAAGGGGGAAAACTTCTTTCAGTAGAAAATAACAAATTGACTATAGGGTACAAAATTTCAAAATCTGGTAAAACAACATTGCTTATTACAACTTTCTATACTCTATTTTATTATCAATAGAGCCCCACCCTAACAAAAGAACCAGACTCAGGGGCCAAGATATTCACCATTTTGGAAAAAGCACCCCACCTCATAATAACCATGCACTTAGTTCATCGGATTAATACCCAAGAGCAGATTTTCAAAGAATTAATGCATTTTCATTATATTATCATTAAGTCCCGCCCTAACACCAGAACCCCTGACCTAGGGGCCATAAAATTCACAATTTTGGAAGAGACACCCTTTTTCGTCATAACTATGTACTTTGTTCATCAACTTAATACTCAGGAGTAGAGGAAAAGATTTTTAAAGAATCAATGCATATTCACTATATAATCATTGGAGCCACGCCCTAACACCAGAACCCTGACCAATGGGCCATGAAATTCACAATTTTGGAAGAGGCACCCTTTCTCATCATAAGTATGCATTTACGTTTTTTGCTTAATACCCAGGAGCAGAGGAGAACATTTTTTATAGAAATAATGCAGTTTCACTATTATATTTAACAGAGCCTCGCCCAAGCACAAGAATGCATGAATTTCACAACTTTGGTAGAGGGCTCAATGCTTATTACAATCATGCCAACAGATTGACTGCTTGTGTCCATGAGTAATGAAGAAGATTTTTAAAGATTGCATTAATTTTAGTGGTTTAGGCCCCACCCCTCAGGCCCCAGGGCGGAATTCACAATTTTTGTTCCCCTTCACCCTTAGATGCTATATGCCAAATTGGTTGAAATTGGATGAGCGGTTTCAGAGAAGAAGCCGAAAATGTTCAAATGTTAACGCACGACGACGGACGAAAACAGATAGCAGTAGGTCACCTGAGTAAAGTCAGGTGACCTAAAAAGATAACTTGAGGGAGAACCTCACAGAAATTCTTAATATCTCTGTAATTGTAAGTACCTCTTCTAACAAAATCTTCACAATTCTTTTGATACACAGCAGGCTGCATCTTGTTTCATTTTGGAACTTATAAGATGTATTTTTGGATGAGAATGTATATTCTATTATCTTACAAGGTAAAACAAGGTTGTTAAACTCTCAGCCGGAGTGTATTACTGAATAAATCATTCCAGAACAAATGTTCTAATTGTAAGTCATAAATATGTCTGTCTATATAGTCTAAAGATGATAAACTTAGCGAGTCATATATGGCTTACGGTAAACATCGAAAAATCTACACATGCTTTTTTATCAAGGTTACATGTATGTCCTCGTAATTTAGCTTCATGTTTCATGTTTGGTTATTGCTATAGCCACTTGAATGATAGAATAAGAACTTTACTTCCATTGTACAAATATCAAAATATCAAATTAACGTACTTTTTCCAATCTTAGTTTTCAATTATTGTTAGAATACATTATTAATCAATACATACGCAGTGTAATAAAAGAAAACAAGCTTGGTTGAAAGTTGGGCACATAAGAAAGTTGTCCGTGGCACGACAAATAAAAAGTGAAAAATTAAATCTCGCTCTTAACAAATTGTCTTTCATTTTTCACTTAACATAAATGTATATTTTGGGTAAAACCTCAACAATTTGCAACAATCTCACAATTATTAAAATTATTCGTCAATGAAAAAGCAGTACACACCAAAGAAGGCAAAATGATCATCTCTTCATATTTGAACACTGTTTTTATTATGAGTGGGTCTTTGCTCCATTTTTATGCCCCCGTAATCGAAGATTAAGGGGTTATATAGTTTTTGCCCTGTCCGTCCGTCTGTCTGTCTGTCTGTTTGACTGTTTGTCCGCAAAAACTTTAACATTGCCCGCAACTTTTGATTGGTAGGGGCTATGACTTTCATATTCCACATGTGCATTCCTTGTGACAAGACCTTTCTTTGAGTACCATCATATTTGACCTTTTTGACCTTGACCTTGGAGTTTGACCCAGTTTTGCAAAACTTAAACCAACTTTAACCTTGGCCATAACTTTTGAACAATTGGTGCTAGGGCTTTCATACTTCACATGTGTAATCCTTTTGACAAGACCTTCCTTTGGATACCAACAACTCTGACCCTTTGACCTTGACCTAAAAGTTTGACCTACTTTTGAAAAACTTTAACCTTTGCTATAATCTTTAAACTGTTGGTGCTATGGCTTTCATATTTCACAAGCGAAATCCTTGTGACAAGACCTTCCTTTGGATATCAACAACTTTGACCCTTTGACCTTGACCTAAGAATTTGACCTACTTTTGAAAAACCTTAACCTTGGCCATAACTTTTGAACGGTTGGTGCTACGGCTTTCATATTTCACATGTATAATACTTGTGACTATACCTTTCTTTGGACTCCAACAATTATAGCCCATTGACCTTGGAGTTTGACCTAGTGTTAGAAAAACTTTAACCTTGGCCATAACTTTTGAATAGTTGGTACTAAGACCTTAATACTTCACATATGTGACAGGACCTTCCTTTGGATACCAGCAATTGTAATCCATTGACTTTGACTTGGAGTTTGACCTACTTTTGGAAAACTTTAATCTTGGACATAACTTCTGAACAATTGGTGTTACTGCTTTCATATTTCAGATGTGTATTTTTTGGGAGAAGGCCTTTCCTTGGGCACCATTAATTTTGACCATTTGACCTTGACTTTGATGTTTGACCTACTTTTGAAAAGCTTTAACCTTTTCCATATGTGTTCATTGGTTGCTGCTCGCGCTTTCATATTTCTTATAGGTATATTCTTCGATACAAGACCTTACTTTGGGTACCAACATATTTGATTTGCACTTGAGAAAGTTTAACCTTCACTATAAGTTGCTATAAGGGGGCATCAGTGTTTCACAAACACATCTTGTTTGAAAGTATAACTTAAAAGTGTGCGTAAAAATATACTTTTCTCGGTTAACAAAAGCATTGAGCAAGGACACACTATACATGTACCTTAAAAATAAACTTTCCGAAAAATAGCCCAGTTTGCAATTTACAGTTAACTTTTAATATAACAAGATTAAAATGCCGCCACCTATTTCATTTTGTGTGGTATGGTGGTTAACTTGTAAGCCTCTAAGAAAACGATTCAAACCCAAATAAAACCGGTTTAAAAAAAAAAAAACTTTTATCCGACAGAATGTTTTATTTGTAATAATTCCATACCTAACAATATTAAGATATTAGCTCTACATAGATAATTTACAAATTGAATTTGATTTCATACATTTCAAGCTATTGGCATTGCCTACCCCTTGTTCGCCAATGTTGAAAAAAAAGATACATGCCCAATTTATTTTTAACTGTGCTTAAATTTTCCCATTTAGACTGAATAATGGACCCTTAAACCCCAGAAATCAAAACTTTGTACAGATACTATTGGGACAAACACTTGTTTGATTTAGACGAAAGATGTAGCCATAACAATCCAACAAAAAATTCTGTAAAATTCTTTTAAAACACTACTTCTCCTACAGTTTTTTTTTTGTTTTAGAAAAACAGAAAAAAATATATACTAAATGAAGGTACAAAATACTGTGTATCGAGTTTTTATTTTCAAAGTTTGCTTAACAATGTCGTCATGCATATGATTACATAAAACAAAATATTGTATGGCAATCTTTCAAAACACAGCTCCAGTTCTAGGCCTGGGCCCCGTTTTACTAAAGAACTTAAAGAACTTACAACTAAGACAAAGATTTTATTTTGCAAATAACTCTGTTTTTTAAAATTAATTTGGAAATCTTTTTTATCTTTTTAAAGAGAAATTTGGAGGATATATTTATAAATGCAATTTTAAAACAGAATTATTTATTTTGCGATATTTTACAAGCGACTAAATGTTTTGGTCTTAGTCGTAAGTTCTTTTGTAAAACTGACCCCTGATTTCAATAATAAAGCCTAATACTCAAGTGGTCTATACCAACTCGATAGTTCTATTTATCTATATGTATTTTAATCTGCTGTAGCTAATTATAAAAAGAATATGTGAAAATCTTTCAAAGCTAAAAGAAAATAAGGTGCACTCATCATGCTTCAAAAATTAAACCAAAAACTTTGGACCCCTGTAAACATCACAGGTGGGGTCAGATGCCATGGGGGAGTAGGTATTCCCTGTATAACAACCAAAACCGCAGAGAGTCCTTTGTAATGATCGGGTAAACGGAAAAATCCGTAGAGAACAATACGAAAATAATGGCCCAATAATCTGTATGAAAAACGTTAGTCAACACGACAGATTTCAATTGTAAACAAAGTCATTGTATCGATCATAAAATTTGCAAAATATCGACATTAAATGATTATTGATACCCTTGTATGATCAGCTTCCATTCCAGTATCCGATTTGATCTGATTTCTGATTTGAACACATATTATATATGATGTTAACATAAAAAGATTCGCTAGAAGGCTTAGCCTATATCAACCCTCTCCGTATCCTATCTCGCTTGTC